CGAGCTAATTGGATTGACAAGTCCTATTTAAGATTTGAACTTTATTTGAAAATTTTCGGGTCGAGTTTATGAAATTCAAGAGCCTTACCTTCCGACTAAAGCATGGCAATACTCTTGGGTGTTCCGGCACTGCTCCTCGAAGAACTGCTCCCTCTTAACCAACCAACCCTTGAAATCCAATCCGTTGAATTTAGGAAATTTCATCTTATAGAATCAATTGGTCGATTCAATTTAACTCACATGATCATCTGTCATTGCCCGATGCATCTCACCGGAACTCCCAACTCCCGTTGATGCCCCAAACGATCCTCTCCTTGAATAAAGGTTGCAATCCACTTTTGAACCTTCCCAAATGCATCTCGAAGAGAGCCTTCATTTCCGTCTTCGTATCAGCCTCCATTTCCTCGCGAAAATTCTCTACCTGATCATCAATCATTTTGTCAATCTGTCAAAAATCGACCTGCAACTTGGCTAGATCTTGATGGGTTTGAAGCATTTCCTTAAGGGGGAATTTGAACACCTTCAGGCATGCCAGATGCGGCTCTGAATACCAAATCATTTCTCGCTAAACTTGAAATTGACAAAGAAATAAAAGATTGGGGATGAAGATAAGAGAAGAAATTGAGGAAGAAATAAAGATTCAAGAGAGGGAAAAATTAATATATGTTTTTCCGTAGCATTCATATGTTCTGAACCTCGACGTTTCATTCCCTAATTGTTAACCTGGAAAATGCAGCGTTTGACTAACCAAAAACTCATATAAAGCAACATAGTATAACAGACTCATTTACTAACCTCAAATGAAACAAACTTTTTATAATTAGAAATATTGGTTTTTAGCAAATTCAAAAATGGATCTAATAAGGCTAGGTTTAGAATCTCAGCCTGTTCTAATAAAACAGGGTGCAATACAGGATTAGGCCTATATTGATAATAATCTTGGGATTTGTCCATTTTTTTACTTCTTGTATGAGAACTCAGCTTTAAAATCTCTTTGGAGCCACTTCCGAGATTTGGTTTTCGCTTCCAGTACAACATCATCAAGGAACCCTCTCTGTGGAAATTCTTCGGGAACAAGACTCTCATATATCTCAAACTGTCCAGTGCTTCCTTCTTCTTGTCAAGTAAACTATAGATGATTCCCTGCCCGCATAATCTCACAATTAGCCATTTACCAATGGCAGTTCAGTTAGAATATTGTATATAGTCCTTTTATCCAACTCTACTCAAGGTCCAATTTCTCTTAAAAAATATCGATTTCACAAGTTTTTTTATCGAAGATCAACTTTCATGGCGCTAAACCTCTTCCTAAACGAAACAAAAAGATTCCATGCCAGCAACTAGCAATACATAGTAAACCTAAACAAAACTTACCTGGCAGAGATAAGGCCGGAAAATCTCGAGGATTATCATTTATCAAATCTTGAAATTTCTTCATTCCCTCCTCCAATTCCCCCTGCAAGCAAGTACTAATAAGTTGATCAATGGTACGAGATTTGATAAAAAAACAATTACATGAAGAAATAATTTTACTACTACTATCATGAGTTTTTCTTTTACCTACCTGCATAGATATGAAAAAAGCTATATAAATCAAGTCTTACCTTGCCCCAACTCGAGCGGAGAATGGACAAAAACGACACCAGCACAAAAGCTAAAAAGAAAGGGAGTGATGTGAATCTGAGCAAAAACAATTGAATAAGAAGTTACCTTCACAACATGCATTTGTGCAATTAAAATTCTTATGTTCTTTCCTCGGTGACTCTATTTTCACGCATAGCAACTTTTAGTGCTTCATTAAGCATCTCAAAAATAGCTGGACCTTCATGGTTTCTGTGCATCACCATAGCCAGACCCTGTAAAACCAGATATTCATAAGTAAAAACATGCGCTTTTTCTTCTGTTCTTGTTTTCTTTCCGACTTTTATTTGTAAGATTTGAACTAAAAGAAACAAGCAAAAAGATTCCCTAATTCCACAAAAGCCTAATAGCTATCATTTTATAAGGAAACTACTCCAAACAGGACTTGCTATTTTCTTATTCAATCCATGCATACTCTTGAGAATACTTGAAGCAGACAAAAGAAGCATCCACATCCACGATATATACGCTACCATGATGTTGCAAAACTTACATCTAGCTGGCCAGAAATAATGGTAATCTTCGAATAAAAGCAACAGTAGATGCAGTGATATTGCATAGCAACCAATAATCTCAACTCACTGCCCAATTCAGTTAGATATAGAAATAACACCTTGGAGAAACAATATACCTAAGAACATACCACCTATATGATGGATTGAAGTTTAAACCAAGAAGATGGTACAAGGGAATCATGTAACCATGAATTTGATACTATCTCAGTCCTAATACCTTTTCCACGGAGCTGCTCTCTTAAATACTAATTTCAAACATTTATAAGCAGGAACGATTCTAAGAGTAATCATAATCCGTAAAATATGAACAAGCAGTCAAGATTCTAAGATTAACCATGATCCTTCAAATCTGTTACTTTGAAATGGGATTACTCAAATTGCATATCATATATCTCAATCTAATCACTCACTCACAGAGGCAATGAGCCCTTTGTCATTAAGCCAGAACCACGAAATGAATAGCATTGGATTTGGGACTTATTTCACAATTTGAGTTAACATTAGATTCAGACCATCTCTCAAAGAATCAGAGTCCCACAAAGTAATTTCTTCTAAACAGTATTCCAAGGGAGCAGATGCTGATTGAACATTAGTATATAAAACAGTACAAAGTTAGAGAAGTTACATGCAAAGCTCGGAGCAAAAGTGGGGTCTCCTCCAATATTTCCTTGAACAGTCTTTAGCTCTGGTGAGCTGCCCCATCATCTCATAACAAAGACATGCAACAGCCTCCAATCAACCTCATCTGGCTCGATATCCATCAACTTCTCCACACATTCCACGGCTTCTTCAGTCTTCCCCCTCCTAATCCTAGACCTTCAAAGCCTCAACATTTCCAGGCTCTTTCCAATTCTCATACATCTCCTCTTCCTCACTTTTCCCTTCTGGGTTTGTTTCTTTCCCTCTGAATTAGTGTAGAGCTGGAAGGTATTTGAGCAGGAAGGGCCAGACATGGTTTAGCATTGAAACAAGCCAAAAACATGAACGACCAACAAGGAAGATAACAATTTTTTCTGATAACGATTTGAAAAACTGGGTCTTGGGAGAGACGAAAGAGGTTTTAGTTGTTGAAGTGGGTTTGTTGGAAGTAGAGAGTTTAGTTGTTTGGAGAGAGAGAGGATTTAGATTGCGCAGATGGAGTGAATGGATGAACTGTGGGTGCAGGGTTTTGGTGGGCTTAAGGTTGGGAAATTTAGGAGTACGAAACTCAGTTTGAGAGATAAAAGAGAAAGCTTTCATTGAAAACATTCTGAAGGAGCAGTGGAGACCAGATTGCTCATTGTTGCACTAATTAAATACGGAGAAGCCCATATGCTTATTGGAATCTGAAACTTCGATAATTTTATCGGCTATATTTGCCTGAGATTAAATCTTACCACTACCATCTTATTTCTTATGATATAATTATTTAACCATTACTTTGTAAATGTACATTTTTAATAGTTTTTATAAAATAATATTTATTTAATATTTTTTATAGTATCAATAATGCAAATACACTTTGCATATCACAATATATATATACACATATTTAATTTTGTACTCAAATAAGTAATATCTACATGGAATAGCGTAAAATTTTATGTTAGAGAGAACGAACATATACAACTTTAAGATAAAAACAAACTTATAACATTTTAACAAGAATAAAAATATTTTTTAATAAAAAATACAAAGAAAATATTTAAATTTTTTTAAAAAAAGATGATCGTCTCATTTTATTATGAAAATTGGATTGTTTGATGAGTAACTTTCAAAACATGCAAACAATTATGTTATTTGAACTTAAAAATGTATTATACATGTATGTATATATCGAGATAAAAATATTTAATTTTTTCTTATTTGTGATTAGAAGTCTCTCTATACTTGCATCAAAATATGTACTTGATGCACACATTTTAAAAAAAACACGAGGAACGTGAATAGTAACCATAAAATGCCTTCGAATTACGAACATTTAAAAAATAATTTCACCTTTTGCAAATACAATTAACGGTAACTAACTTATGCTATATTTGATTATATATAATTTTTATATATATTATGTAATGAAGTATCACATGAACTCCATATATAAGAATCCAATCATGTTATGATATATAGAAATCCAAATTCGTTGAACCATTCATGTTATGATCTTCTACATCCTAAATCATTTTGTTCCGTTATCCGGCTTTTGTTCTTCATGCAACATTCAGACTGAATGACTAAAATTACGTAGATACTACCACATATTACCAACTGTTCCTTTCCGTAATATATATTAGTAGTCATAAAATCAAGGCAAGTCCGTTATAAAGCTAAGAATGCAGTTTTTCTTTTTTCTGCCAATGCATTGTATATGCAACTCCAGCTTGATTATGACCATCCACTGTCATAGGATCAAGACTAAATTTATGTAGAAATCTAGGCCATCATTTCCATAACATGGAACATAAAGCTTTGACATGAGGCCAGCCCTAAAATCAGATTATCTCGGTTAATATGGTGATGCTCCTAACTTTCAGTGTATTCGACACTTTGATTGACTTTGAAGTACCTGATCGGGGTGGCTGATTTAATTTAGAGGGCATGGCTGCAACAAGGAAGGTGGCGGCATTCGGATGATAGTAAACAAAATTTTTCTACACCAATATCTGTTCGCTTACAGTGATTCACAGAAGTGGCAAAAACATAGCACAAAATTTCATCCATAATATCAGCTCAAAGAAACAGACAATAGCATGTGCATGAAAAAAAGATTTCCACTACCGAGTCTTCCCTCCTTGTAGGATGATACAAAATATATCTTTTAACTCATTAAGATGAGATAGCTTTGCACTTTCAAATGACCAGCTGCTTTTTATTGTTATTATAGCAAAATTGACAAATGGATTCTCCACTTCTGAAACACTTGTCCTTGCTCACCTGGTAAGTTGACCTCCAAAGGCAAATTTGATTTATCATATGAAGTTCCGGATGTCCAATGACTTTATATCAGGCAATGTCTCATCCTTGAATTCCTCCCTGAAGATTGAAAGTTATTATAAAAAGGGAAGCATTGAAACATTTCATAAATGGTACCGGTTTTTGCCCGGGCACGAAATGTTTCACGAAATGTTTCTAAAAAGGGAAGCATTGAAACATTTCATAAATGGTACCGGTTTTTGCCCGGGCACGAAATGTTTCTTGGCAGAAAAACGAGTGAATAAATAAATGATTTTTAATGAAATGTTTTAGAGTCGCCATCGAACCTTTTGGGTTAGGTATGTCGAATACCTAAAATCATTTTTAAAAGAGTTTTTAAGAATACATCATTTAAAAGATCTCTGCGTATAATAATAAAAGGAATTCGTGGTCGTTACGTTTGGGGAATGATTACACCCCCACAACCCAAAATTGGTACCTTCGATTATAATTGTCTCTATTAGTGAAAAATCTAAGAATTCAAATATGAATTTAATTTACGATCCTATTATTCCAGATTCAATCGAATAATTCTAAGGAAAAATTACTTTAAGGCATCTCATTTCTTTGATATTGAAAAATAAATAAATATTAATAAGAATATGATAATTTTTCCTAAAAAAAATATTAAATAAAATATGAAGTAATATATATATATATATATATATAAACATATATTTATTATTATTATAAAATACATAATAAGACAGCTAGTTATTTTAAGACAACATTTTCTTTAATATTCAAAAATAAATAATATTATCTTTAATTAAATTAAAAAATTGATTAAATTAATTAAATAAGATATTATGATTACTTAAAATGTTAAGAAAAAAACACATATTTCAAGAAAAATAAAAGTAATAATATAATAAAAATAATAATATAAATAAAATAATAATAAATAAAAAAGACAAAACATGTGCGTGGGGGACAAAGTTAAGACAACTTTTAATTATTAATGTTTTTTTTATGTTAGGTGACTAATCATATCAGCTCTATATTAATTTCAAAACTATACTAACTATGTCGACCATTTAAGCCTAATTAACCTATTTCAGTTCATGATTAATGTGATAACAAAGGCAAAAAATAGTTTATCAATTTCTATATATGACAAAACATAATATTAAAATAGGTCTATTTATTATATAAAACTAAATGAGTTCATATAATTTACAAGGTTTTACTATTAATATTTAATAATCTAATTATATGAAAACTAATATCACTTAATAAACGACTTAAATAACTAAAATTATTAATTGAACTCATAATTAATTATAAGGGATTAAAATAAACATTAAAATTATAGGGTTAAAAAATACTAAATTAAAATATTGAAATAAAGTTATTAAAGTAATAAATTAAAAATATGAAATTAAAGGGGTAATAATAAAATAAATAATAAATAATGAAAAAATAAGAAAATTAAAATTATAAGTTAAATAAAATAATTTAATAGAAATAATTTAAATATATATAATATAGGTATTAATAGTGTAATTAACTATAAATATTAATACCAGGTTAAAATAAAATTACTAAAATATAAGAGACTAAATAATATATTTACCTTAAATATTATAAACTGATAAGGATTAAAATAAAAAATAAAATTTGAAAACAAAACTAAAATATATCGAAACTAAATTTTAGTGACCATAATGAAAGTAACAAAACGAGAGGGACTACGAGCATTATTTTTCAAGCAGTAAATTACCAAAGCCCCTCCTAAAACGACGTCGTTTGGGGAGGGATTTAAAAACACCTAAAACCGACCTTTATTGCAATCTTCTTCATTTTTTTTCTTTTTTACTTCTCTCTCTAGGAGAGAGAAGTTCAAACTCTCTCTCGCATCTCTCTAAAATCCTCCACCGGAGGGACGACAGTCAACGGCCGACTGCCGTGAACCACCACCGACAGCCGCCGTCGGCCACCATCCACAGTGGTCGGAGTTCACCAAAATACCATAGATTAAAGCCCCTATTTTTCTAAACTTAGATCTAAGGTTGTTTTGGTTTAAAACCTTACCAAACGTCATAGATCTAGGATTATTTCGCTCGACGTTTCGGTTCTCCGGCGACGTTTGACCTATCCAACAATGGTAAGTTCTTCTCTCTTTTCTTTTGGTTATTTTTTGTTTTTGTTTCGTATTTTTTTGTTGGTCGTTGGTAGTTGCTTCATTCCCGTTCATTCCCTCTTATTTGTAGGTAAATCGAGTCCTTTTATAGGGCTCGTTGAGGTTCTCCTCGGTGGATCTATCACAGGAGGGTCCTTGGTGAGTCATCGGATTACGATGTGTGCGACTCTTCTTGAGTCTTCTAAAGAATTTGGTGGCGTGGCAGAAGATAACTGGGGAACATGACGGCGGAGTGGTTGAAGGCGAGGCGGTGGAGCAGTTGGATCATAGAGGCGGCGGCGAAATCACCCTAGGGTTCACCAACCCTAGGGTTTCTGTTGGAAGAGATCTGGACCGTTGGATTTGGAGAGATCCAACGGCTGTGAAGAGCTGGCGGTTGGAGATGTGGAAACCTTAAAAGCATCTGGATCGAGTCTTGGGTCGGGTCTGGATCTGGGCCTCCAGGTTCTGGACCGGGTCAGGTCTGCTGTATTTGGGTCAATTTTATAAACGGGCCTCCAGATCTTGTAACTGGGCCTGTAATAATATTTGTAGTTATTATTTAATATTAATATTAAAATTAATATTAATAATAATATTTATAATAATAATAATAATTTTAAAAATAAAATGAAAAAATTAGTGTCTGCAGCTGCCCCTCTTTGCTCATTCTTGTGTTAACAAGAATAGAGCAAAGACGAAAAAGACAATAATTTTTTCATTTGGCCCGGATGACTTATCATCTTGCTCGGAAGGCTTACAGATGATCCGAAGGATTTAAGATCAAGAAACCTTTGAAAATCAGTTTCTTAAAATATCATTTGAAAACATCCTGCACTGGAGGTCTTATGGATGACCCGAAGGTTTTGAAAACATCCTGCACTGAAGGTCTTACAGATGACCCGAAGGTTTTGAAAACATCCTGCACTGAAGGTCTTACAGATGACCCGAAGGTTTTGAAAACATTCTGCACTGAAGGTCTTACAGATGACCCGAAGGCTTTTTGAAAACATCCTGCATTGAAGGTCTTGCAGATGACCTGAAGGCTTTTTTGAAAACATCCTGCACTGAAGGTCTTACAGATGACTCGAAGGCTTTTTTGAAAACATCCTGAACTGAAGGTCTTACAGATGACCCGAAGGTTTTTTTGAAAACATCATGAACTGAAGGGCTTACAGATAACCCAAAGGTTTTTTTGAAAACATCATGCACTAAAAGGCTTACAGATGACCCGAAGGCTTTTTGAAAACATCCTTCACTGAAGGTCTTACGGATGACCTAAAGGCTTTTTTGAAAACATCCTGCACTGAAGGGCTTACAGATGACCCGAAGGTTTTTTTGAAAACATCATGCACTGAATGGCTTACAGATGACCTGAAGGTTTTGAAAACATCATGCACTGAAGGGCTTACAGATGACCCGAAGGTTTTGAAAACATCATGCAATGAAGGGCTTACAGATGACCCGAAGGTTTTGAAAAAATCATGCACTGAAGGGCTTACAGATGTGAGAAATAGTTTACTAAGTAAGAAACTTTGAAAATCGTTTTCTTACTATTTAACAATTTTATTTTCAAAAAAGATTAAAGGAGAAACTTTGGAAAGCGTTTTCCCATTATTTTTCAAAATAATATGTTGATTGAGTAACATGCCCCAATCTCAAGATAATGCTCATTTTTGTGGATTGCGTCAATCTCTTCTTCAGATGTTTGTGTGATTTTGAAAATTGAGGTTTTGAATTCTACCTTCTTCTTGTAAGGTATTTTTCATCATGAATCTTCTTTTTTCATACGAAGATCTGTCAAACTTCATATTTGAATGCAATCAAATATATCAATGTAATGCATTGTCTATTGTGCAAATGATGTTGTCGTAACCGTTTTTCGCCCGGGCACGAAATTTTTACTTGGCGGGAAAAATAAAAATGAATTAAAATGAATAAGTAAATGATTTTAATTTTAAAAAAATGTTTTGGGAGTCGCCATCGACCTTTTTGGATTAGGTAGGTCGAATACCTAAAAATTATCTTTTAAAAGAGTTTTTAAGAAAACATAAGTTAAAAGATAAACTGATCTGCGTTTTAAACAAAAATTCTTTCTTTTTAATAATAAAAAAGGGTTTGTGGTCGATTACGTTTGGGGAAGGATTAGCACCCCCACAACGCCCAAAATTGTTACTTATTAATTATAAATTGTCTTTATTATTAGAAATTTAAATATTCAAATGTATTTAATTTATGATCTTGTTATTTCGTATTTTAATCGGATAATTCTAAGGAATAATATTAAAAATATATATATATAGAGTTTTGTAAATATAACATTTATTTATTTAAGAATATTAGAAAATGACTTCTAGTTACTTTAAGACAGCTCTTTTCTTCTATATTAATAAATAAATATTGAATATGTAATAATTTTTCCTAAAAATAATTTAAATAAAACTAGATTATGATTTTCATAATATTTAATTATTTAAAATACCAAAATAGGACATCCAATTATATTAAGACTGCCCTTTTCTTTGATATTAAAAATAAATAAATATTAATAAAATATATTATATAATTAAAAATAATGATAAATAGAATAATAATTAAAAATAAATTAGATAAATGATAATGAAATAATGATCAAAATTAAAATTACAGAATATAAAATATTAAAATTAAATATACTAATTCAAAATATTGAAGAAATCTGTCCTAACCTCATAATTTAACCTTAACTATTTATTTGGGATTAAAATGTTTAATTAATAAAATTAAGGGGCCTAATTCGAAGTATTATAAACTACTAGGTATTAATAGTTTAATTTAACCTATTTAATTATACGGGATAAAAATAAAATTATTAAAATTAATATGGGCTAAATAGGTTATTTTACCTTAAATATAAATATAATGGTAATGACTAAAATATAATAGAATAAAATTGGAA